AAGATGATGTTCTTGTCTCTGTTCCAGTGTGGAGCCGGCGGGTGTCTTATTGACCTGGCTCAGGAGCTGCTAGTCATCATGGTGGGAAAACAGATCATCAACAACATCGAGGAGTTCATCTCCCCGTAAATGACACACACAGCCACACAAACAACACACCATCAATAAAAATGTAATAAGTCCTCTGCTGGTCATAACTGACAGAGGAATTTAAACAAGCATTCCAAGTCCTGGTAGATCCCAAAAAATATAAAATATAAATTCAGCAGTGCCACAGAGGAGCTAAGCCAAACCTGTGGCACCTAAAACAGCTTGTAAGTGAGAAGTGAGGTTAAAGCTTTTTGTGCAGTGAGAAATACTGGTGCCAAAATTAAAACCAGTTTAAAAATAGTAGAGTAACTCCAGACGAAGAACAAATTCAGCTTGAGGTATTGTCTTGATGTGGTGACATCTTTTATCTTCCTCTGGCAGGCGGGCTTAAGCCCAGATGCCTAACTGGGTGTTATGATAAATGTGGCACATTGATACTTCTCTTGATTGTTGCTAGCAGTGACATTTTTCTTTCTCCCAGTCAGTGCACTTTGTTGTGTGGCCCTAACTGTACCATCGTCCTCTGGACCTTCAGCTGAAGGGGCCCAGGAGTGGTGCAGTACGGGTCCTTTGAGTGGGCCAGTTTTAACATAGAAACAGGCGAAACAGCATTGCAAACTACACTGACCCACTCATTGGAAACGAGGCACAAGATACATGATGGAACATCATCTGCAGAATAATGACGAGGAAAACTGAGGGAAACATTATCCATTGCTAAGGAGGCCAAGTGCTGCACATTGGGGAACATCTTAATGAAATTTTAAAAGTTCAGAGCTTTTCTTTTCTGACAGAAACTCAGCAACCCAGAACTAGCATCCACCTGCATCAATGAGGCTGAACAGCAGATGCAGACACAGAGGTCCCTCAGTGGGCAGGATTACGAACTTGGATCTGATTTGGGCAGGCATTGCCTCGCCTGCTGGTGGGCCGGAGGGGCCGGAGGTGCCACATAGCAAACTGTGGCTACAATGCAGTAGCTTATCACAATCAGCTTGTGAATGACTGAATATACTGTGAAGCTTCAAGCTCCTCTGGATTTGATAAAGCACAATACAAGTAAAAGAGATGAACTAATATTACCCTTTTTGGAAATTTTTTAAGCCCTACTTACTCCAATAGAGGAGAAATTTGAAGAGTATTGATTTGATAACTTTACAAAGGCTTTATGTAAATCATGTTTCAAAAGAGTTTCTTAAGTCTGACAACAGCTTTCAGACTAGACTGCAAGACGCATGAAGCAGAAGGCTCTTGTTCTGGCAGGAAGGTTAAGGCGTGGTGGCAGAGAAACAAAATGCATCCTCTCCTGAAGGCAGGGGAGGGGACTCAGACGATGATGGACGTTTCTCCCTGGGAGGCAGATTACGAGCTGCTGGTCTGTGAGGGACTCTTCGGTGAATATCTGGAGATGGGTAA